TTGGAGTCTCAGTGGGGTGGGGTGGGAGGGGCAGAGGAGAAAACAGATGCAGGGATGGCCTCAGATGGAGAAAGTTCCAGGAGAGAAATAAAGCGGATTGTGTGAGGAGGAGCCCGGCTCGCAAACAGCGGGACCAGGCATGGAAGAGGAGCAGTTAGTGTAGGGGGCTCCAAGGCACGAAGGGCCTGTCTGTTTGAAGATCCAGGAGACTTGGGAGAGGTGGCCAGAGGCTTAATAAGCCACAACACAGAGTTTGAACTTTATTCTTAGTGTGGTGCAAATGGTTCTGGGAGAGTATCGAATATTTTCAGCTTTGGTCAAATGCTGTTTCATGCATAAGTCCCTTTGGTGGGAGGAAATGTTTAACTATACCATCCTCCCCTCCTTCCATCTCTGAGAGGGTCTCCAAAGGGGCTCTTTGGCTCTACAGGGCCCCTCATAATGCATCACAGAGACCCCAGTGCAGGCAGGTTTCAGAATCCCAAAGGTCTGTGACTTGCCCACCCAGGATCCCTCTGCCTGGTGTCCAGAAACACAAGCCCATGTTCTTGTCATTAACCCAAAGGCCGATAGCTGGGACTTCTGTTCTTTTTTGTTTGTATTTTTCCAAATTCTCAGCACTTCCATCTGCTCTCATGTACTATGTTCGCTCTCAGGTCACTAAAATGTTTCTCCTCAACCACAGAAAAAGGTGTAAGTCGACGCAGTCCTGTCTGAAACAGGATACGTGTGTCGTGCGTCCCTGAGTTTGGGTTTTTCCAAGGATATCATGATACATCATACCTTTGGCTTTTCATCTGCTCTCAACTGAAAAAAAGAAATCGTTAGCTTACATTTCAGTCCTACTCGGCGTTTTTGTTTTGTGCTAGTTGATTTGAAGTAAGATATTTGAGGTCAACAGTGGAAAGCACCACGTCCCACGGGGGGCCCACCAGATGGCACCCAGAGAAGGCTGGCTGCACCATGCAGTGTAGATAGTGTGAGTCCCGCTAACACCTTTGATGCTGGGCATTGTCTGCTTTGGTTTTGTCAGTAAAAATGATGAAAATGTTGGAAAGGTGAATAGGTAGCATTCATTGCCCTCACTTTACAGGTAAGGAAACAGGCTTAGGGAAGTGACATGAATTAGGTTAACCCCACACTTTGTGGGATCCAGGATTCTAACTCTGAGTGACCTCTGCACACCGGCTGTGGAAACGACATTCCGAGAATGGTCAGATGAACAGGGAGCACGTAGCACAGGTCCTGCCACCAGGAAATCGGGGGTTTGTCCTTCGGGTGGTTCTCGAGCCTTTGAATGTTGTGGCCTCCCCACTTCTTGATTCTGTTCTAGAAGTTCTGGCCTGGTGGGTTTTGAAGTATATCCACCATGACTGCCCTGCCTTTGAGGATGAAGCGATTTGACCAGTGATGCGAGACTGTTGGCTGTTTGTGATGTGGCTCGTGACGGTAGAGACATGATGCATAGATTTCAGTATGAACTAAGTAAAGATCTGTCTGTTTCTAGTCTGAAATTTCACCTGAATGTGAACTACCCAATGGCGCTGATGAAATTTAGATGACCCCTGCACACTCCGATCGCCTCAAATTTTCTTTAATGAGTGGTGGGCGGGCGGAGCCCACTTGGCCAAGGGAAACATATGGAAGAGAGGCACAATCTTGCTGTCCTTTTTGGTGTCCACATCCGGATTTACCTAAACCCCACCCCTGGTGCCTTTGCGTAGCTGTGAAAAACCGGTATTTTCTATCCGTGATTCACATTCCAAATCCTAGGCTTCCGTCTGTCAGGGGTGGGTCAGAACAGCTTCTGGGAAGGATGGGCCCGGCTGGAGGCCAGCAGAGTGTGGACGGGGAGGGCCCTGCCGCCCGAGGTCCGGGCAGGTGACCGCTGCACTCCGCTTTCGGAGCTGGACATGGAGCCAGCTTTGCACCCACCCGTGAAAAGGCCAACCAAGGAAGGTGGCTTCTTGAGTTTCTGCTGTCGGGGGCCCTGCTGTGCAGCAGACAAGAGCAAGGTACCGAAGTGGCCTGATTCTGGGGGTGGCTGTCCCTCCCTAGGGGTCCCCCTCTGCTGTGTCATGCACTCCTGGCGGCCGGGGCGGCTCACCTGGGTCTGGGCTCTTCCTGGCCACTCATTGCTGGGGGAGGGCCAGCGAGGGTCGTGGTCACTGCGGTTTCTTTGAAGTTAAATTGTGCTTCGGTGCAGAGGACGATGCTCACAGCAGTTAAAGTTTGTTTAATGATAATTAAGTTGCTTTTCTTTATTCTGAAAAATCTCTTCATTTTCTGTACAAAGGCAGGAGGCATTTTTCTGTGATTATAGAGAATGTCTCCAGGTAAGATGTAATCTGTCGACCCAGTCGGGGCTCTGAAATAATGAGGCAGTGGGATCCTGATTTGGAAATGCCACCAAGATTAGCAAACCAAGTGTTTCTGGTTAAGAATTTTCTCAGAAACCTAAAAGGGTGCTTTTTCCTCCTTCCTCCTCCCTCTTTGGTTCAGAGCGGCTAACTTTGGTTAGGAATCTCTTAAGACATGCATGGCTGCTTCAAAACCGGTCTGGATCACCTTTTCAAAGCCTGGAGGAGGTTTGGCATGTCCCATCTTGTTCCTTCCTGACTTAATCCCTACTCACAGGCAGTGCTGCGCTACCCAGGAGCCCACGGAGCTGGGAGAGGAGAAGCCTCGACTCTTCCCAGGCTTTGAGAAGTTGACTGGCTCTCTTCCCAGGAGGAAAATGCTTTTAGGCAGAGCAGGCCACCAAGAGATCTTGGCTGAAGCTTGTGTTGGAAAAAAAAAAAGAAGAAAGAAAGAGAGAAAGAGAGAAAAATTTCAAGAATGAAAAGTCCTAAACCAGGAATTCATTTGATGAGTCTGTCTCACGTGCCTAACTTCTCACTGCCAGAATTAAGGTGTCCTGAAAAGAAACCTTAGGAAAATGTGTCATGGTTACCAAGTTTGATGCAGGGATAGGATGGAGGGGAAAAAAAGAATTTTCGTGAAGGAACTGAACCAACTGGTTTTCAAAACCTGAGTTTTAAGTTTTAATAGAAATGTTGGATAATACGAGGATTTGTCATATGTATGCGTGTGTGTTCTGCTGTGTGTTGTAGCAGTGGAACATTTTGGTTCAGACTTCTGTCACCCTCTCAGTCTGAGAAGTTGATTCCCTGACCCACTGTGCCTTGTTCTGACGTCTTTGTGCCAAGCTGATACCAAGCTGGCAGCGGAAGGGCTGAGGGTCAAGGTATGGGATGTTGGGTCAGCAGGGAATAATTACAGAATAGGTCACGCAAGGTCGTGGGCAGGAGAAAGAAGATGCTAGTCGCTGACACAGAGAAGAGGGAAAGGCTCGGACCAAGGACTGTGAAGCATGGACTGGGCAGAGCAAAGGCGGTGGAGTACGTATAAATGGATTTAACCAAGGTGGTCAGGAAAAACACTTACCAAAGAGGGTGTGAGTGGAGTGAGGTCAGGAAATGCACAGTCATGGTGTCGGTGGCAATGGTAGGAAGTGTGATGATGGAGTTCTGTCCCCTTCCAGAATAGAGGATTTAAGAGCATCCTGTTTTAGAGAGGATCCTTCTGTTTCTACCTGATTTTCTAATGGCTATTAAGACTAAGGCCTATCAGGAAAGGCAAAGGAAGCTATCATTTCTTAGAGGAGGAGCTGACCAGAAGCACCGGATGTATTACTTGAGGGAGGATGGAGGGGCCCGAGAGGGGAGGGGGCCTTGGGTCCACACTCTGAATTCCCCAAGACGATCAGATCCTGGATCCAGCGGACCCCTGACTCCCTCACACAGTTCTAAGACCCTTGTTGGGTTCCCACCTAGTTAAGTCCTCTTAGTCTTGATCTGAGAGTCAGACTAACTCAGAGAATCAGAGAACACAGGAGCTGAAAAATATAGCCAAGCCCTCCCCAAGTGTCCCCAAGTGTGAGATGAGGTCACTGAGGCCAGAAAGCTTAGGTGACTTACTCAGGGTCACAGCTCAGCCTTCCTGAGACTTCTACTTCCTTCTTGAGGAAGGGTCCGGAGGACATGGATAAGGCAGACTGGCTGAGGAGGCACAGGTTGCTAGGGCACGTGGCCTGATGGCGCCCCCGGGGCCCAGGCTCCTGCTTTCAGATGCTCCCCGGCCTGATTCAGGCCCTACCTCTGGACTCTTCTCGCTCCTTCGATGGGCCACACAGGGCAGCACCAGAAGCTGAAGGAGGGTCCCACCCAGGCAGCACCTCCCCAGGGCTCACGTGTCTCTGCGACAAACTCTGGTGACGAGTACACTCTGTGACAAGTGTTACAAGCCACACACATTCTGGATGGGGAGAGGATAGTGATTGCAGGGAAGAAGGGACTATCACACACCAATTTTTTTTTGGAATCAAGCACCCCTTTTATCAGCACAAAATATCACCAACCCAGCAACCCCAGGGCCTGAGAATAAGTTAAGGCACAGAGCAGGGAGGGGGCGACTTTTGCAGGCCCGAAGCCCGCATGCCCCAAACTTCTTGAGCAAACTCCCCAGGGGATGGGGGCTCGAGGGTCCCGGAGGGGCTTTTCCCTTGAGATGAGGGCCCCAGGAAAGCCCTCTAGGGGCGCGAGGAGGCCGCACCGGGCCTCTCGGAGCCGACGCTGGATCCCGCCGTCCGCAGGCAGTTCACTTCTCGAAGTAGGGCGGGTAGAAGAACTGGAAGCCCCGGTGGCCCTTCACGGCACCGTAGATGAAGATCGCGTGGTAGACTCCCGGGACCAACAAGGGGAAGCCAGGCACGAGGAAGATGGCGCTGGAGACACCCGACGATCGGGATCAGCACCAGCCCCGGCAGTAGGAGCAGGAAGGAGGCTAGCAGTACCCGGCGGTTCTTCTGGGTCAGAGGGTGTTGAGTCCAGCCGCAGCAGGTGTTGTAGGAGCGCTGAGTGCTGCTGCTGATGGTGCTGAAGGACCGCTGGGAGCTGCGGATGGATGTTCGGCCAGGATCCCTGGTGCTGACTCCCCATTCTGGCTCCGGAGGTGCCTGGGCTCCATCTTTACCATTTTCCAGGTT